TTAACATCATACCTACTGGAGATATCATTTGTCAGCTGATATATATCAACATCATACCTACTAGAGGTATCATCATCTTTAAGACGATCTAAACATCATAATGAAGGTTTCTTCTGCCAGACAATATTTTAATGTCATACCAACAGAAGATATCATCTGTCATACGATACACTTTACAAAATGTTCTGTACAACTGTTAGTTCACGCAGCATAAAACTTTCGTCAACACTACAATAGACCTAGATTATTATCCTTACCATCCGAACAATAAATCCGTGCTGTCTGTAGATAGGAAAATCTACCCGCCTCTGTTAATTACTTATATAACAGAAATGTGATGATGGTACTGGCACAGGATAGATATATTTAGACCCAGGCTACTTCCTAGTGTTGTACGAGTACTGAGAAATTGATTGGATATCAGTAACGCAACAATATTAACGTTTATATAAAACTGATCTCCCTTTCACGAATCTTCCTTAACATAAGAAATCTTCCTTAATCAATATTGCTAATAGTAAATTTCTTTAAATTTTAGTATTTCTTTCGCTTACCTAATGCTTTTCTGTAGTAGTTAAGATTTCCATTAAGTTAGGAAGATTCGTGAAACTGCCTGAAATATTGTAAAAATGGTTATATTTATATTTCACTAGTAAACACAGTTTAATTTCACAATGTCCATGTACCTATTCTAACCTGACATCGCCTACCGCAATGTACCTATTCTAACCTGACATCGCCTACCGCAATGTACCTATTCTAACATGACATCGCCTACCGCAATGTACCCATTCTAACATGACATCACCTACCGCAATGTACCTATTCTAACCTGAAATCGTCTACCGCCATGTACCTATTCTTACCTGACATCGCCTACCGCAATGTACCTATTCTAACCTGACATCGCCTACCGCAATGTACCCATTCTAACATGACATCACCTACCGCCATGTACCTATTATAATCTGACATTGCCTATCGCCATGTACCTGTTCTAACCTTACGTCACCTACCTTAATCTACCTATTATAACCTGACGTGACATACCGCCATGTACCTGTTCAAAACTGACCTCGCCTACCGCAATGTACCTATTCTAACCTTACATCACCTACCACCGTGTACCTATTATAACCTTACATCGCCTACCGCCATATACCTATTATAACCTGACATCGCCTACCGCCATGTACCTATTCTAACCTGACATCGCCTACCGCAATGTACCTATTCTAACCTGACGTGACATACCGTCTTGTACCTGTTCAAAACTGACATCGCCTACCGCCATGTACCTATTCTAACCTTAAGTCACCTGCCGCAATGTACCTATTCTAACCTTACGTCACCTACCGCCATGTACCTTTTCTAACCTGACATCGCCTACCGCCATGTACCTTTTCTAACCTTACGACACCTACCACCATGTTCCCATTCCAACCTTGTCACCTACCGCTCTCGATATCGATAGGTTCACGATCAGCTGGTAGTAATAGATCGTTCCGGTGCTCCAGCTAACTGTGTTAACATTTCATATGGCTTTGGTGACATCAACGGTAATTTATATATAAAAAACTACAAGTTCCCTGACAGATATTTATTAGGTCTAAATCAGTAGAGTAGGCCGCACCACCATAAACCAGTGACGTCAATCTACCCATTAACACTTTGATCATGTCTGTAATCGAAATTAATTCAGGATATTATGTAATATTTAGCTTACTTTTCAATTAAAATTCGTTATTGTTGTGACATATGATAGAAAAATGATATAAATCTTTATGGTGATTGTGTACAATATTTTAAATATGTCTCGTCTTGGCTATCTCTAGGCGATCACGCACAAATTCCCTGGAAATGCAGTTATTTTTGCATTTCATAATCCGTCAGTTAATTACGTTTCAAATCAATTTGAAAAAGCTATTTAAAAAAAACACACAATAAAAATGAAAGTAGATTGAATTGGTTTATGTAAATAGATCGGTCGGAAGTATTTCTTTAACCTGGTACATCGGTATCAATGTTCATCTTTTATGTCCAAACTGCGAGAGGCTTCCTGTGTAATTTACTATTGATCACGGTATACAATCCTTCATACCACTTTGAGAGTTAAAATATCACTTTCAATCCGTATGTAAATAAAAAGGTGTTATACAAATATAAATATATTCATATCCCTTACCTAATGTCAGATATAATATTTATCAAGCTTAATCCACGATTTGGCGTGCTAGCGTCAATATTTGGTGTCGTTTAGTGTAATTAACCCTGGCACACGTAGTATTACATTAATAGAACTCACTATATCTAGATATAATCAATGTCATAACATTGTCGTTCTGTTCTAACGTGATGAACATTTACGTAATCAGTATGATTAATGAAAGTGATAGGACAGTATAATATCGCCTGATGTGCTGTATTAATTCTAGAAAAAACTAACAAGGTGCTACAATGAGGAAAAATGAAGACAAATCAAGTTAATTTCGTAAATGATGGATTGTCTACATTTTAAATACAAATTAAATTGGACAATTAGCACTGCTGACACAACGCATTCTATACAATGTTAAATGTACACGCATACTTAAAAATCAGCGTTCTGCTGCAAAAAAAATAAGAAACGGTTGTGTTTTCTTATTTACACCTATAATTGACAACTTTTCAACGACGAAAAAGAAAACGAGTTTTAAGCAGGATTTATTTATTTTTTTTTTTAAATCTAACTTTCTTTCAAAACAACAATCCGGTGACATGCAACTCTGAAATAATTATCCTGGAAAACCGAAAGGTCATTTGTTAAAATAAACTACTGGAATACATTTTTTTTCGAATTGATAGTTACAATGAAAAAAACACAAATTTCGTTCAAATTATACTTTAATATTAAATCCTGTAAGTATTTGGAGTCAATATGTGTTCCTCTCTCACTAATACCCTGGATCACTTGAATTGTTCGCTATATACAAGCCCAGGTTTGCCAATGCGGGAGTCATGATAATACAACGGCTAAAACGAATAGTTTACATGGAAAATATAACTTTGAGATTCGCAGGAGAATAAATAAATTTAGAAGTCATACAAACAAGTTGGAGATCATTGTGGACCAAATATATTGATTATTCTAATTATTTCGCGATTTCTTGTTAATCGGAAAATGAAATCGAGGAGGAGTATCATAACGTCTTGGTGTGTAACATAATGTATCGACAAATATGATAAAGAAATTCATACAATTTACTTGCCTCCTCGACCAAATTATTTTTGAGGCAAACAAGGTTAATGCGACCATTTCCTAACCCTCCGTCTTGTAGTACGTTTTGTTGAATCGCTGTTCTACAGTATGTTATATATAACATGCAGTCTATAAGAAACTTTGTCCATAAATAAAATATAAAATACATTAATAACTCTATTGTTAAATATGAGGATCACTTTCACGTATATAGATATATGACACTCCATTGCCATCCAAACACGAATCTGTGGAAATGTCATTCGACATTAACTAGTAAAAAAGGCTACAAAAAAACACACTATGACATTTCAGCGTAACCAACACAACCTACTTCTTGAGCATATATTTTAATAAAGATAACAAATATAACATAAATATGACAATATTTACACAGCCTGTCACAATTACAGATATGTACAATGACCACATGTATGTACACAATGTATTAACAAAACATTATTTCACCTAAAGATTCAAACGATATGGTTGTTTACAAATGTCTCTCTCAAACAAAGTGTGTAACACATTATTTGTTTCGATTGCCCAAATACATACACCCTCATCCACACACCCAAACACACCACCACCCCGACACACCCACACATACCCAAACAAACACACACCCTCACAAAATTACACAAGTTAGTTAGCACTTTGAAAGTGATATGTCACAAACGTACCTATAAACTTATCTTTTTAAATGATACCGCTATAAAAAAAACAATAGCTAAACACAGTTTACTTACAGGGATACACACTTGAGTACGAGAATGTGTCCTAAGATAGCATGGGGTTGGTTTGTGAGAACAAGGATTTCAGCGGAGTTTTTTATTGTCTGTAATATATACTTTTAATGATATGGTTTAGCACGATATCTCGGAAATATGACAAAAAACCAAAACTTGTCATTGTCGTAATAGTGACGAAAGCCATTTCAAATTACATAACAGTTAGTCTATTGGCACTTGTACGTACTGATGACCGAAAAACCGCAAAACATTGGATTCACTGTTAACAAGATAATAGTCTGAAGGATTCTGACGCTCTGTCGACTTTTATGTATCGGCTCGGTGAACGTGTTATGTTGAGTGTAAAGGTCCCGTTTTTCAGACTAATTACATACTCATGGAACAAACGATTCCCCTTATTTAACCTACTTATTTTGTTTTCAGACTTATGGCACCAAATGAAATTAAAGATTTCATATATTATTCTACGTCAAGCTGCTTACATTGGTAATAACTGGGAGCGGTAACATAGGATACCCTATTACTAAGCTGTAATATACAAGCGTTAATTTCGATTTTCCTCTGGTGAACTTAACAGAAGTCTCGTCCACAGTATTTACATGTCGCTGACGCACAAACTTGTCACACAGTATTGGAGATGCAGAGTGATGTAGTGTTTATCAGAGGTCAATGGTCGTCATTATTAAATCGCATTAGGGAATATCTAATGTCTTAGTGTGATGTCATTATCGTTAGATCTGATGCTGATAATTATTGTAATGCCAAAGATTAGGAATTTATCCAAAATATGATCTTGTCTTGGTCGATTTCTCCCTATATCAAAAACACGTGAATCTATATATAGTTTTGCTTTTCGGCAAGTTTATAACGACAAATATCGCGAGATCTTGTAACGGCAACCATTACCAAATTAAACTTAACGAACAACACCTTTCACTTTTACGTAAGTTACTTTAAAAATGTAAATTATATAAAACACAGCCCGGAAGTCGACCCATGCATGGGTCGCTAACAGATCGTGTTTTCAATATAAAAAGATGGATATTCAGAATCCTTCAGTCCAATACTTTCCATGTTCTGTTCGAGTAATTGAGAACGCGGTATCATTTCTATTGAATCACATCACTGACTGTTGTCGATGAGGGAAAAGACAGCTTTTCATCCTGAACACGTGTTGTTGTGACAGTGGGATCCCTGTTCCATTTTGTTTCGATCCAATGTGTTGGGTTTTTGAATTTCATTTTTCTCTTGTTCCACGTAAGATTTTGTCAAACGTACGGTGATAGTATACAAGCACACAGTGTCACCAGAGTGTAACAGAGAAAAGGGCTTCATTGCAATAGAAATGTAAGTTACAACAGTTTACCATTGACAAAATCGTAGCTCTCATAGAACTAGACATAACGTCTTAAAACTTGAGTTTGTTGTCTCTTTCCTGTTCGGTAGTATTATTAACATATCTAGTAGGAATGGCTTAAAGCACCAGATCCAGAGTATTTCTTCAGAGTATTATAAAGACTCCTGTAGCACACTATTACGCTTCAGGTAGCATGCCAATAGGCGCTACCTGAGTCAAGGAAAGTACAGATGAGGATGACGAAAATGAAAAACTCCTTAGGGATCGTCAGTAATAAAACACATTCCAGAAAATGGCGAACGCAAAACAAACAAGGTATATTGACAGTGATATCCACCACAAGTATTGTTCATGCAGTTTTTGTTCAAAGTTTTTCAAAACAACAAGTCCCATAGTTAATCCCGCTAGCGCCCCCATTAAGTGAGCGGTGTACCCAACAGGTGGCGCCTTGTCTAAGCTGGAATAGCGGTCCCATATTGCAAAGCCAACGTCTGCGCTAGCTGAAACGGACAATTGAAAATTATTTTACACGCTTTGAAACTCTAAACTTCCTAAAATGTTACACACTTGCGATAACGACATAATGAATATGGTAAATTTATGAATCCATTAATTTACTAATCTCCATTCTCTTCTATCTTTTCTAGATTAATGCCGGCTTAAACCCAAAATACCATACCTTGTCTGTCTTAAAAACAGGTACACATAAAGCAAAAGAAACTAATTCAGATATTTTATCTAAGCATTATTTATCACAGGTCTAAATAATGTCTGTGCAGTTTAGTTTTCAGAATGGGGTGGACTCGTTCCCTCGATAGCAAATTCAGGGAATTAGGCATAAGGTTAGCACTCGGCAATAGGAGTCTAAAACATCTGTTTAAAATGTTACAGACGAGTTGAAGTAACCTGGTACGAAATAGTCAGAAAAGGATGCATGGAGGCACATCAACAGTTATACTTATGAAAGCAAACTCAAGGATTCCAGTATGCTTGGAATACATTGTGCGTGATTTAGGTTTTAACATACAAATAGAGCGGTGATGGTCTGGTTCAGAAGCAATCACAGCGAATGAAAATATCCCAGTAATTCAAATGATTTTGTCACGACAATATAAAGTTCCCTACCACACATATTTAGAATGTCTCTTCATCCAACTCACGCCACAGATATTTTATACAAATTACGTACGATTCCAAATACACTGCCCTCCCCCAAAAAGTGTACAGTTAAGTTCTCGAAACCCTTACCATGCATTGATATTGATTTAGAAACAAGATAAGGGAACCAAAGTGCTTTTTTACATTGAAAGTGAAATTAAATATAGGATATAGGTCCTATCCATGAGATTTGTAACAAATCTGTATACATGTTCCCTCCTAACCTTTCGCGGACACCTACGATTAGACACGTCCACAGCTGTATCAGATACCTACCTACAACAAGAACAGCTGCCAATTTCAGTACACCAAACTCCATGTGAGTATAATTCTGAAACGACATGTTATAAATTAAATATCATTAAAGTGTTAAATTGGTTGGTTAAGAAGTATAATGTCTATAAATTCATTAACTTTCAAACAACACCTCCATGAGCTACATGCGGCTTACTTTCTACGTGTTCATTCCTGTAGGAAGGGAAACAACCCAATTTACAAGATATTGATGATTATAACTGGAGTGACTTCCCTTCGTACACTTACCAGCATAACGTTTGCAAGATGAGCTGCCAGTAAAGCATAGACCCCTCCTGAGGCCCCTACTAGATATACTTTGATGTCAAACACTGACGTCCCAAGAGATCCTGGCGTTGGAAGAAAACACAATTAATTTAATAATTACAAAAGTGATTTGAGTAAAAAGGTGTGATACGAAAAAGTGAATTTTCAGTACAGATAAATTTAAGTTTGAACACATTAAATTTTAAGGGAAAATTAAAGAATAATTCATTGAGAAAGTTTTGGATACTGGAATCTCACTAGATCCTGTTGATGGCACGAGGAGAAGGTTTATTACTGAACTGTTTTCATTATGTATTTTCTTACTTAATATTAATCAAAACAATACACGAATACCAATGAAATAGTAATGCTGGAGATGTGAGTACAATCAAGGTCATATTGAATGCGCAAGCTACGAATATTATACAGAATCACTGCTTTATAAAGACAACAAGCTGTCAATCGCTAAATGACAAGAACCAAGGTCGAAATGTATCGCCAATGAGATGCACTATTATGAAAACTTTCCCGGCTCTTACAAGGCTCATCTACCAACCAAACAAGAAATATCAGTTTTACCTGCCAACACTCCAGCCAGATACACGAGTGCAATCCGGAAAGAACCGTGTACCATTTCCAGGGGAATACCAACTATTATTTGTACCAACATATTGAAAAATAAATGTACCCATCTGAAAAAATAAATAAATAAATAAATAACAAATAAAAATATATTTGGGGACGTCTGTTAAAAACCGTGACATTTGAACTAAATTCTAGAAATCATTTTGTTTACAAACTCTTTTGAACGGACATTCATTGTGACTATAGCAGACTTCTTTCTCCGAGTTAATTTCTTTCACTGAAAGTGCGATACAAGAGCGTTCAGTTCGTTGCGTGTTATCACAGTAACTTTATATTTATCTGATAGAATGCATCGAGGAGCAAATATTGGCAGTTAGGGAGACAGTGGTACAACTTACCCGGCATGTATGAACATATAGAAAATGAATCTCCACAGTTGTAGGCGGCGGTCGGGACGGTAAATGAAGACGCTTTCTACTGGGACGGGGCCGGTAGGACTAATGTTGTTGGCCTCCAGGCAGTGATACACAAAAAAACCCACCTGTCAGAACGTAACCAGAGAGAATAAATGTACGGTGTTAGGTGAATTCTGTATTGACATCGAAAGGTTTCAAAAAGGTTCATATTAAACAATGATACTGAAATGACACTGTAGTGAACTCAATTATATACATATAACATTGAAATAAGGCTGGAATATAGGTAGTTATGGTATACAAAATATCTGGACCAGCAAACATTGGGTCAAGCACTTTCCCAGGCTATTAAACAAACTTCACGAAGTTCTTTTGAGCAAATCAAATGTTATATACCTGGGAATTTATAAATAAAATATAAAAATTATTATGTAGACATTCTAATCAATTAAAAAAAATTAGATTTCCAACAAAGGTTTATGTTAACAGTATCCACATGTTTCAGTTTAGTGTATTACAGGAAACATTCCAATTCTTGAAGATACACAAGAATAACAGATTGAGGTGGCGTCAGCGAGCGGAAATCAGATTACCGAGAATAGTTAGTCTGTTTGAACAGTGAAGGGAATTATTATGTTTACATCACAGAAGCAGAATTTATCTGTTTTAAATCTTGAACAAATAATAGTAAAAAGAGAAAAACAGCTCGAGTCACAATGTACAACAATGTATATATGTTTCTATCGACTCTCCCAGAAGACTGAATACGATATTAAAGGCACCAGTTTAATATGTAATTGTAGTAGAGGCTAGCGATGTATCATAATCACATTAAGGGCTGCCATAGTTAACGAATGCTAACGACCGAGTCTTTTCTGTCTTGTTGGCACTTTAATGTCTGTTGTCAAGGTACATGTGTATTCATCTCCATCATTGATCAAATACACAGATAGTGGACTGTTATCAGCTGATCATTTTATGAATATTTCTATGAATTTTTTGTCGGATATTTGTTGGGCCAGGTATTGATATAAAATAATGAAAAACAAAAAGCACAATAAATTAATGTTTTGTGCTGCAGCAGAATGTGATTAACTGTGTAATCAATATCTATATTAACATCACAGAAACTACATATAAAAGCTGATTATTAATAACAATTCGTCAATGATGTTTTCCATAAAGGACGAGAATGACAATAAAAATTATCTATGCGTTTCCTACAGCAGCACATAACATTTAAAACTTACTCTGATAGAAATAACGCGCCTTTGTTTTGATCTAATCTCGCGATAATTAACAAACCCCGTTTCTACTGCAAACGGGTCAATTTTGCCTTTCGAAAGTTTCCACATTCTGTGTCAAAACCGGATTCGACAGTGATCACGCGGGAGATCGCTGCGTTAGACAGTGATCACGCGGGAGATCGCTGCGTCAGACAGTGATCACGCTGGAGATCGCTGCGTTAGACAGTGATCACGCTGGAGATCGCTGCGTCAGACAGTGATCACGCTGGAGATCGCTGCGTTAGACAGTGATCACGCTGGAGATCGTTGCGTTAGACAGTGACCACAAGGGAAATCACTGCGTTAGACAGTGATCACACGGGGGATCGCTGCGTAAGACAATGATCACGCGGGAGATCGCTGCGTCAGACAGTGATCACGCTGGAGATCGCTGCGTTAGACAGTGATCACGCTGGAGATCGTTGCGTTAGACAGTGACCACAAGGGAAATCACTGCGTTAGACAGTGATCACGCGGGAGATCGATGCGTAAGAAAGTGATCACACGGGAGATCGCTGTGTTAGACAGTGATCGCGCGGGAGAACGCTGCGTTAGACAGTGATCACACGGGGGATCGCTGCGTAAGACAGTGATCACACGGGGGATCGCTGCGTAAGACAATGATCACGCGGGAGATCGATGCGTAAGAAAGTAATCACGCTGGAAATCGCTGTGTTAGACAGTGATCACGCGGAAGATCACTGCTTTAGACAGTGATCACACGGGAGATCGCTGCCTTATACAGTGATCACACGGGAGATCGCTGCGTTAGACAGTGATCACACGGGAGATCACTGCGTTTTCATAAAGTGGTTATGTTTGAGAATGTTGTCGGAGAAATTAACGTGTTGGCGAAAGATAAACGTGGAACGCCACTTTAGACAGTAGTTGCGTGTGGGACCGCAGTCTTAATACGATAGCGCGAGGGAATGACGTCTTAGGAAATTGCCGTGTGAATGAGAATTCTCTCATAGAGACACTTAATTTGTTAACGCGGAGAAAGAAAGCTAAGTTATTAACTATTTCTTAGAGAAATAATGTCTTACCTCTGCCATAGTTATAAATGGAATGAAAAGTGGAGGCGGACAGCAGCTGTACTTGTCTGCGTAGTACTGTCTGTCCAACTCGTCCGTCAGGTACTGCTCGGCTACGTAGCGCACCATTCCGCGGAAAAATGTGGTGTTGTTGCGGTACTGACTGGTCAGTAGAAAATGTTCCTTACCCTGTGTCTCTATGGCGAGTCGGAAACTTGGATTTCTTTTATTACTCATCTGCAACAAGCATACAATTATAGGATTAATCATCCGGTACAAGTACATGTCTAATAGTGTCTCATCCTACATACTGGTAAATGGCTATAGACCTTGTAAAAGGTGAATCACGGATTTTGCGGTCAGCTTCGTGTGTCATTGTTATAATTATTACGTTAGAAATGATACAAATGATACAAGCACTTCCATAAAAGTACTGACGACTAAACAACAGTCCCCAGTGGGAATAGACAAGTGGCACACTGGTTTGGTCTGCTTACTCATGGACCTCGCGGTGTCTGAATGGTATGTTACTTCCATAAAAGTGGCATGAGGATAATCATGTTACCGTGACGCTAGGTGTTATACGTTATACTACAACACAAAAAGTGCAAGACAGGAAGTACCCTAGTACTTTTGCTGCATTTATTAGATTTTCAATACGACTGGAGAAACTGTAAACGAAACTGAGTAGATATGACCTCATGACATGACACATGGCAAACATGATCTTCCCTCCAATCTAACCCCCCCCCCCCCCCCCCACACACACACCCCTCTCAAAAAAATACTCCGCATTTTAATGAATGACAGATCGATAAATCGATACAATATGTATTGCCTATTGTTACATTTGTCATTGGGTTGAGTGATGTAGCTAATCCACTTGTCATCGTACGTAATGTCACCGCAAAATATTCTATTCCAAGTTGTAACGAAGTAACCAGAAAAAACAAACAAGAAATCAAAATACTTACTAATCACCATTTATAAATATATTAGTAAGTACCATTGTATTTGAATATTTCCGTGCACTGACATACCCCTTAAGGGTTTTATTAAAATAGGGGAAATGAGAAAAGTCACAATGAACGTACGTGTTTGGGAAAAAACATTTGCCGTTGAATGTTTGCAATAACAGCGCGATTAACTACAAGTACTTCTCTACAGGCAAATTATCATGATCGTCCTACAAACTAGAAATGACAAAGAATGACTATTTTCAGTTCCTCAGCGTCACCTAAACGTCTTTTAAGTTCTGAAGGAATATACGACGTGGTCGAAGAACAATGTGTATATTATCAGTGTTTTCATCTTCTAAATATAGATAAACGTTATTTTATCATGTTTGTAAATGCAATTATCTGTTTACACATGTTTCCCTGGAAAGTGAAGGGTATAGCTAGTCCTGTTGTACCTTAGAAGTCCCGATAGAAATGTTACACCAAGTCAAGATTAAAATTATAACCAACACTGTTTATGTTTCTGACTGTTACCACTAGTTGTCAGAAAAGAAAAGGTTCTACAGAATAAAGAATATCCGGGTACTTTAGAATATTTGTATCATAAGACGAAGAGCTGAATTCAGGTCTATCAGGTACTGATGTAAAAAATCTTAAATTACCGTTTTTCATTTTATTGTAGAAAATTGACAATTAGAAACGTCAGGCCCATTTACAAGTTCAGAGTATTCGTAATTTAATTGGCCATATTAACACTTAATCGACATTATGTATGACTTTATCATATAGAGAAACTGGGTTAGGGAGCAATACACTTCATATCGATTTGGTTCATTTCATCAACGATCTGTCACAGACAGTATTTAAGGGGATGTGTATGATGCTGGTGCGTGCTGCCTAATAACTGACGATACAAGGATTTCCTTCCGTGCGTTAGGACCGCCTTTCTGGCTCGCAATTAAATAAACGAACTACGTCGTACTGGCTAAAGAAAATCTTTTTCTAGTTGGTAATATTCCCGTTATTCGAAGATAACTGAATTTTCACTTTGTTCCACAAATTGGCGTCAGTAAAAAAGATGGCTATTCTTTTGAGATAAAGCATTCGGATATGAATTTTGAGATACGCGTTTTAATCCAACTATACCCTGTTACGTAAGCAAGGGTAACCAGGGAGAGATATGCCGATCAGATCTTGTCTCTGAGCTCTCCCATATAATTGCTTATTGTATCAAACATGTCCATATTACGAAAATCAATATCAACCGATAGAAAAAGAGCAGTATTAGACGAAGGAAAGGACAGGGGGAAAAGGGAAAGGCCGATCGCGGGAAATGATGCCTTATTTGGTTTCAAAGTTTTGCTAACGGCTCCGCACTGTCAAACACGAACATGGTTTGCATTAAATACATGCTCGAAGTCACGGATGCACTTTTGATAATGGTATATCACAGATAAGAAATGCACTGAAACGTGGTATAATTTCTATATTAGAGGATACTCTTTGTGCAGTCGTTGAAGTTGACATGGGGACCTATATGATAACACACTGTCTAGCCCGGATAGGCATGTGTATATTACAGACGTTGCTGTGAATGTTACAGAACAGTATGTATCACTGTTCGTGTTCGAGTTATTTGGTAAGCGAACCAGATATTTATTGTCAGTTTTTATTGACAACGATCTTGATAAATACACATACAGCTTTAAATAGTCACTTACACGTGTAAAGCACGAGAAAAAGTACCAATCAACAACACATGTAAAAAATCTACAAACGTTTCCGTGCAGAATCAATCATCAGATTCTCCTAACAAATTATATGTTAGCGAAGATAAAATTAGCTACAAACATTAAAATGTACCATTATTCAGCGATTATTTGAAGAGTTCAAAATATGGACTACAGAACATGATGACAGACGTTCATATTAAGACTTTAAAGAGATACTCATTCAAATTTTGATACGAATCACATATATCAATGTCGAAAAAAACCCACAAAATTTTAAAACATTTAAGATTGCAAAAAATATCAGGAATAAAACAAATCCTCGCTTCTCTTTCCGATCATTTGATAATCTTTCATACCATTGACGCTGGGGGTAGAAATAAGGAAACTATAGCATCATCTATATACAACCTTTGATATGTTCTCTCTCTTCCCCATGAGAGACCTCTTGCATGAGAACATGTTTACATAGATAATGAATCTAGGAACCCTATCCTGGCAGCAATCTAAATACATAAAAATGGAAACTTCGCTTAAAATTCCTGATTTCTGAATGGCACTACATGATAGCACGTGATGACTTCAGAAGATTTTCTACCATTTTGGGATCATAATTATGCTGATGAAACATTTGAATATCGAAACATACATGACTCATTGCTGCGGCAGGGATTGGGTAACGCTGGCATCCAGGGGTTGACAGATCATAACATCTCCGCTGTCTTTATGGTACATCATACAGTACTTCTACAGTTAGTGGTATGACCACCTTTCAAAGCAGTGTTAATCCTGATGTAGTCATAATTCTTAGCCATAAGACAGTAATATGACGTCACGTTTGCCAAAGTTACGACGATGCTTTGCTCGTCGCCTCAGATAACACACATTATACTTACAAATCAACCATTTAAATGACCACAATTTTCAGGAAGCTCTTCTAATAAATAAACATACACGGACGAAACTTGATCCAATGGAAACGGCAATATTTTAAAATAGCATCTGAAATTCTGTTATCCATAAATGATTATCAGATTGTATTGGTTGTCGATTTGAATGCAATCTGGATGACAGATAAATAATCATGACATCCTTCCTAGAGGACATCAATCTATTTATCGGTCACACATATCAATATTTGAATAAACACTACGACGTATTCAGATCAATAGCGAGGAAGAGGCTATAAAATCGTCTTAGGCGTTGACGAGTAGCATATCTACAAATAACACATCAATTCAAGTATCGGTATCGAATATGTAAATGAGTCAAGGGGTATTAGTCATGGACTTCCAGTCATATCCAAGTCATAATAATGTTTAGACTTCCTTGTCACCGGCTTATTTGACGAGAACAATTCGTCCAGATTGAGATGATTATGTGTTAAATATCTATTCGAAAGTCATTGCCTTATATAGAAACTGTACGAAGCGAATCTACAAACTGATGATTAACATGTTGTCTGAGTTCCGTTAGAAACCTACAAACTGATGATAGACATGTTGTCTTAGTTCCCGTTAGAAACCTACAAACTGATGATAGACATGTTGTCTGAGTTCCCGTTAGAAATCTACAAACTGATGATAGACATACTGTCTGAGTTCCCGTTAGAAACCTACAAACTGATGATAGACATGTTGTCTTAGTTCCCGTTAGAAACCTACAAACTGATGATAGACATGTTGTCTTAGTTCCCGTTAGAAACCTACAAACTGATGATAGACATGTTGTCTGAGTTCCGTTAGAAATCTACAAACTGATGATAGACATACCGTCTTAGTTCCCGTTAGAAATCTACAAACTGATGATAGACATACCGTCCGAGTTCCCGTTAGAAATCTACAAACTGATGATAGACATACCGTCTTAGTTCCAGTTAGAAATCTACAAACTGATGATAGACATACCGTCTTAGTTCCGTTAAACCTACAAACTGATGATAGACATGTTGTCTTAGTTCCCGTTAGAAACCTACAAACTGATGATAGACATACTGTCTGAGTTCCCGTTAGAAATCTACAAACTGATGATAGACATACTGTCCGAGTTCCCGTTAGAAATCTACAAACTGATGATAGACATACCGTCTGAGTTCCCGTTAGAAACCTACAAACTGATGATAGACATACCGTCTGAGTTCCGTTAGAAATCTACAAACTGATGATTGACATACCGTCTGAGTTCCCGTTAGAAACCTACAAACTGATGATAGACATACCGTCTGAGTTCCGTTAGAAATCTACAAACTGATGATTGACATACCGTCTGAGTTCCGTTAGAAACCTACAAACTGATGATAGACATGTTGTCTTAGTTCCCGTTAGAAATCTACAAACTGATGATAGACATACCGTCTTAGTTCTCGTTAGAAATCTACAAACTGATGATAGACATACCGTCTTAGAAATCTACAAACTGATGATAGACATACGTTCCCGTTAGAAATCTACAAACTGATGATAGACATACCGTTAGAAACCGATGATAGAGTTCCCGTTAGAAACCTACAAACTGATGATAGACATACCGTCTTAGTTCTCGTTAGAAA